AGTTACTGTCCAGCTCTCTGATGCATAGCAAGCAAATGCAAAGACAGGGCCTGTATCAGGTGCACCTTAGTCTCCAGACTGACATCGTTGCTCTTCAGTACTTTGGAGAGTCTCTGACAGCAGACTTTTCCAATGCAATTCATCTTTTAATTTCCTAGTTGCTGGTACCAAGAGTGTTGATTGTAGAGCCACGCAAACTGAAGCTGTCAACAATCTCAATCTCTTCACCATCTGTCAAGATGCTGTCAATTGGCCCAGTGGTGAGAATCTTTGTCTTCTTGACATTGAGCTTCAATCCATACTGGTCTGCAGTCCTTGACCTTCTGCAGCAAGCGCTTCAGGTCCTCCTCACTTTCAGCAAGCAGAGTTGTGTCATCTGCATATCGCAGATCGTGGATGAGTCTATGTCCAATCCTGATGTCACACTTCTCCTCATAGGGCCCAGCCTCCCGGATAATCTGTTCCGGATACAGGTTGAAAAGATATGGAGACAGGACACATCCTTGATGCGCCTCACATTATCTTAGCTATTACTATAAACACACACACACAGTTTCATCTCTGTGAGATTTTAAGATTTGGAATAATAAAGATGAAACCATTTCAAAATTTCATTGACAAGAGAAGACACATCCTTTCATATCTCAAAGAGCAAGAGCTGTGGTGACAGTCGGGGTGCATGAAAATGACACGCTGGTTTTTAAAACTGAGACAAATCTCTAATCCTCTCAGCTCTTCCAGGAAAGGGGGCCTTCATCGGGTTGGGACGGCGCTTTGCAGTTGGTTAAGTCTACAGACTTCGGCTTCAAATGATGAGTTCATCTCCGCTCCTTCCAGAAAAAGTAATGAACCCAAATCTAAAGCCACCAGTGCCGAGTCCATTCTGACTCATGACGGCCATCCAGCAGCTTCTAAAGCTGCCATCTTCACAGGACGACAGTGCCCATCTTTGTCCTGGGAAGCAGTGGATAGGTTCAAGCTCTGACCTGGTTAGCAGCCCAGCACACATAGAAAAAAAAAAAAAAAGGAACCAGAATAAGCAGTGGAGAAGCCACCTGGTGGTGAGTGCTGGCGGCCCATTTCTGGAGGAGCAGAGGCTGTGCACAAGGTGCAGGACTGAGGACTGCCACATGCACACAGGGAAGCCCATTCTCACCATGGTGCCCCACGAGGTCCCAGCAACTAGAGGGACCAGGGGCCAGGGCACCAGGACTGGCAGACTACTCTCTGAGCAGCTTGTGTTATGCAGATGATACAACCCTGTCTGCCCAAATTAAGGAGTGAAGCACTTACTGACTGAGACGCAAGCCTCCAGCCTCCAGGATGGCTTATGCTTAGTATCAAGAACACAAAATTCATTGAAACAGATGAGGGAGACAACGGTTTAAAAGGGATATATGATTGGGTATTACTGTCATGATAGGAGTCCAGAATGAAGGCTGAATAGTGGAGTTGGGGGGAGGGGCTGTGTAACAATGAAAGAATTTTTCTTTTCAAGAAGAATGAATTGGGGGAGAGGGTGGGCAGGGAGAAAAGTTCAACAATGAATGACTAGAAACACTAAGTCTCTGTAAACTTTCATTACAATTAATAATAATAATAATCCCACAAAATTCCTCCCCACTGGACTAAGCTCCATCATAATGAATGGAGAGGACTGACGCTGTCAAGGATTTCATTTCCTTGGATCCACCATTAACATCTCCAGAAGCAGCGCGCAGGAAATCACACCACGAATTGCACTAGGCAGATCTGCTACAAAAGGCCTCTTCAACGTGCTCAAAGACGAGGTGTCACCCTAAGGATTAAAATACACTTGGCCCAAGGGAAGGCACTTCCAGTGGCCTCAGCCGCCTGTGAAAGCTGGACGATGACTAAAGACAACCGAAGAATGGATACGTTTGCGTTAGGGTGCTGGTGAGTAAGGAATATGCTCTGGAGGCCTTCCGCTAAGCTGTGGCGCTGCAATCCACAGACACAGTCTGAATCCACCCGCTGCTCTGTGGGGAAAAAGGTGGGCAATCTCCTCCCGTGCAACTTCCCAGCTCTGCAAACCCACGAGAGGGTTGGCTGTGAGTTGGCTCCAATTTGACAATACGTGACGACGACCTATTTTGTTGGGAGCTCTGGTGGCCTAGCAGTAAGGAAGCTGTACCGCCGACCCAACCTGAAGGCACGTGGTTTGAATCCCCCAGCGGCTCTGCGGGAGAAGGATGGGCAATCTCCTCCTGTGCAATTTACTGCCTCTGAAAACCTGCTGGAGGGTCAGCTCTGGGTCGGTTCCCACGCGATGGTAGATAACAACATAAGACTTTCAGAACAAAGCTACTTGGAAGAAGTAGTTGCCAAGTGCTCCTTAAAAGCGAGATGGCAGGAGAGCCCCCAGAGAAGGACATCTTAGTGGGAAAAGCAGAGGGTCAGGGAAAAAGAGGACCTTAAATGAGATGGACAGACACTGAGGCTGCAGCCCAAGGCCAGCAGGGAGTGTGGATGGTGCAGGACCTGACAGTGTCCTGTCCTGTCGCACACAGATGGGGTCACCATGGGTGGCACCGAGGAACAGGACCCAGGAAGGCTGGGAAAGTTAGTCAAAGCTCTTCATGAGTCCCGAGGACCAGCAGAGAGGGGGCTCCACCCCTGGCCCCCCCCAGAAGGCTACAGACCCATGCTGCCTCCTCACAGGCCTGAAGCTGGTGGAAATAATCCCTGCAGGGCTGTCGTGTGCTCAGAGCTGGGCTGCCTTGTGGGCTTGTCCTTGGGGCACAGAGTGGCCTGGACAAAAGACCTACAGAGAGTGACACCTGGAGGAGCCCAGTGGAACAGCAGGCTCACCTGTCCACTGTCCAGGAGCTCCTGGGGCACAAACAGGAAGGCCCGCCCCTTTGCCATTAACTGCCTCAAATACAGGACTCCCCAGGAGGCCGCAAACATGGAGCAGAACCAACGCGGAGCACAGACAACTGTGAAGAGAGACAACCCCAAAACCAAACCCACTGCGGTGGAGCCGGTTCCCGCCGCAGCACCCGCCCCGCAGAGGGCAGAGCTGTCCCTCTGGGTTTCCACCGTGGCAGGTTTCAGTGGACACCACTGCCCTGTGGTTCTACAGCAGAGAAGCTGGTGCATCCAAACCAAAGGCATTTCAGCCAGCAACCCAGTCAAACACAAGGAAGCTCTGGTAGCCTAGTGGGGAGAAGCTGCACTGCAATCCCCAGGACACACAGGTTCCCATCCACCAGCTGTTCTGTGGAAGGCGAGTGGGCAGTCTCCTCCTATTTTACTGCCTCTGTAAACCCGCTGGAGGGTCAGCAGAGGGTTGGTTTTGGGGTTTTGTCTCTCTTTACTGTTATCTGCTCTCCCCGCTGTTTCTGGCCTGGCTTTGTGGCTTTCTTGGGGAGACCTCTTGTATTTGAGATGCTTCATGAGAAAGGGCTATACCTTCCTGTTTGTGTTCTTGATGCACTGAACACAGCAGGTTTCTCCAGACAAAGAATAAGCCCAAAATCAATCTCTCACTCTCTCAAACACTCTCCCCCCACCCCACCCCCTCGAAGGCTGCCAGGGGAAGCAGAGACCACAGCGCACTCAGACAGAAAGCAACACTAAAGTCCATCAAAGAGATAAAAAAGAGCAAAGAAAGGAAATCAGAGGCTTGAACCGGCATTCAGTCTGACTAACACAAATGCCTGGGGAAAGAGAGACAGATAATCAGAAATACTACCAAAGCCTCTCCTGGATACAAGGTCTTTTCAGACCAGGATGGATCAGGGAAGACATAGCGAGAAGACTGCCCCCAGCGCGCCAGGTCTGTGAGGAGCCGTCCACGTACCAAGCAGGCACAACGCCGCCAGCCTCCCCAGCCCCAAGGCACACGAGTCACACAACCAACCGTCCAGACACAGGCCTGTGGGCACGTCATGGGCCGGACCGGTCCCACAGCACCAGCTGCTTCACTCCTGAAGGTCTGTGCTCTCACATATGGAGCTCTGGCGGCTTAGTGGTAAGGAGCTGCGCTGCCAACCTGGAGGGACATGGTTCAAATCTACCAGCTGCTCCACTGGGGAAAGATGGTCAGTCTTCTTCCAGGCAACTTACTGCCCCTGAAAACCTGCCGGAGGGTCAGCTATGAGTCGGTTCTCACTCAGGGGTACACATCAGCACTGTAACACAAGCGCCCCGGTGGTGCATGATGTGTCACCTGTTAACAGAAAGGTTAGTGGTTCGAATCCACCAGCTGCTCCGTGGGAGATGTGCGGTCTTCTCCCCTAAAGATTCAAAGCCTCAGACACTCAGTGCACAGTGACCGTGAGCCAGACCCGACCAGATGGCGGGTACGCTAACTGCACCCCTTCCTTCTGCGTCCTCGGGGGCAGTTGCAGGGCGGCTGTGTCACCATGCAGGACTCGGGTTCAGAGATGGGCCAACTTTTCTAGTGAAGTCAGTGTAAATGCCTCAAAGCCCCGGGTCAGCTGCCACATTTCTCCTGAGCCTTGACTCACTCAAGCCAATCCTAAACAGAATCCCCCAGTGAGCCTGACTGTGGGGCAGCGGGATGCAGGGTGGGGGCAGAGTATCCGCTTCCGGCCCGGCCACTGGACACAAGGGCTCCTGAAGCTCAGCTCCCACCTCCTGCCTGTCCTCTCCCAGCCATGGTCTTCCCTTCAAGGTGCTGAACAGAGCCACCTCCTCCACGAAGTCGTCCCAGGCTGCTCCTGGGAGTCAAGCCCCCATCAACTCAGCCCACCACACCTTTTATGCACCTGGATGGGGGCTGGCAACCCCTAACTCCTCCCCGTGGCCGCCCCACATTGTGATGTGCTCATTATGCCGTGAGACGAGGTGGGAATGGTGACGAAGAGTCCACTTCTACTACAAAGTGTTTTATAAATACATTTTCATACAAAGGACATGGAGAGCACCAGGTCAGCAGCCCGGCCCGTCACCAGCCAGGCCCACCTCCCTCTCACCCCATGTGCCAACAGTCATGGGGACCAGGCACCCGCCTAGGCCCTCAGCTTCTCCAGGAGCATTTCGACGCCCTTGCTGGGGGTTTTGGTCTTTTCCAAGGTGGGGATGAGGCTCTTGAGGCCGGCTTTGACCTTGCTCGCGACCTCTGGATCAGAACTCTGGAGCAGGCTGGAGAGAAAGGCAAAATAATGAATACACCAACCAAACATTTAAAAAATCCACTACCTGTCAAATGAAGGGTGGGGCCAGCAATCTGTCCCTAAAACCACAGAGACCGTTCTGCAGCCTCGCTGGTGGTCACCTGAGAAGAGGACACTCACAGACCAACTTGGGTCCACACACTGACGCCCTGTCTCCATCATTCATAGGTGGCTACAAATATTCTCAGGGAGCACTGGCAACCTAGCGGTAAGGAGCTGCACCGCCATCCAAGAAGGTACACAGTTCGAACCCACTAGCTGCTCTGCAGGAGAAAGATGTGCCATCTCCTGTGCAATTTAAAGCCTCTGAAAACCCACTGGAGGGTCAGCTGTGGGCAGGTTCCCACTCTACAACAGTGACAACACAGGTATTCTGGGGTCCTTGGGTGGTGCAGACATACTTGGCTGCTGAACTGGTGCTTAGTGGTTTGGATCCACTTCTAGGCACTGCGGAAGAAAGGCCTGGTGACCTACTTCTGGACCATCAGCCCGACAATCCTAGGAGTGCAGTTCTCCCAGGCCCACGTGGCATCCGGCATGTCCTCAAGTCCCCGGTTCCTGTGATGCCCACCATGTCAGTAATGAGGTGGGCACATGACCAGCACCAAGCGCCACTCCCCTCCTTGTGGACACAAGAGCAGGACGGCCGGTCACCCACAAGGTCCACAGAGCGAAGGAACGCTTCCTTTACTGAGCGGCGACTTACTAGGTATTCTAAGTTCACACCCTCGGCTAAACACATAATCACATAACCACAATAAACCGCATGTCATCAGGGCACATTTTCTGACTGGCAGTGACCAGAGGGAAGCGAGTCTTCAGCCTCCTTGCCTGAAACCCACCCGGGGAGCGCGCTGATTGATGAGCAGTCTTTACAGAGTAATTTGATGGCATCACTGAAATGCCTAGTTAATTGAGTCTAATGAAAGAAGCCATTAGTAGGTGCTCACTCGCCAGCGCCTTGTGAAGAAATTCACATGAAAAAAGTTCATCTTATGGATTCTGGTTGTTCAACATTAACTGGAAAATTAACTCATTTTAATGAGAAATTAAGAAAATGATCTGCATTACCAATGTATTTAGAGGTTCTGGTGTCCCTGAAGAGTGAGATGCTCAGTTGAGAGAGAAAGAGAGAGAGAGAGAGAGAGAGTGTGTGTGTGTGTGTGTGTGTGTGTGAGAGAGAGAGTGTGAGAGAGAGAGAGCGCACGCGAGGGAGAGAGAGAGAGAGAGAGAAGTAGGCTGTGTGCATACCTGAGACAGCATGTGTACACCAGATCAAATTACACACTGAAGAAACATATACCTCAACATTTACAAACAAAATGGATTAAACAGCACGGACTGTTGCACATGAAAGACTACAGGAAATTCAAACCAGAGTCGGTCTAGTTTTTTCCTAAACCTGTAAGGTAACAAGGGGGCCAGGAATGAATGGTGATTCCTTTAAAACAGCACACGTATCTATTCCCAATGAGTATCCCAATGGAAAGGCTTCATCTAGGGTTCACGTGCATGGAAGTCCCAGTGACCGGTACATGATAAACAGAGGATTCAAACTGTTCTTTCTGGGTCAGTCATGGCTGACAAAGGGAAACTAGACTGGACTCCAATCTTTAAATGCTGTGTAAAAACGATGACCAAAGTGGAGGAAGGTACAGGCTGACCCTAAGCTTCTTAGAAACCAAGGGCAGCGTGTGCCGCACAGCACCCAAGTCTCTTGACCAGCAGAGCTGCAAACCACTGTGTCCGGCTCAAAGATGGTGGCTGGCTGTGCTACTCTGAATGCAAGTGGTACGTCAGGGTCTTGGCGAACCCAGTCCCCAGCATCACACAGGGCTCGTAAGGCTTCCTCCAAGTTTCCCATCACAGGCCTTTCAAAGCACAAGTTTTTCCACTCTGGTACATCTACTGTGTACAGACTTGAGTCTATTCTGATCTTACCCCGACAATCATGAGTGACTAGCTTAAACCAGTTCAAAGCCCCGTAATAAAGAACGTAACACTTTCCAGAAAACAAACAAGCTGAGCTTCAATCCCACATCGTCAGCTACGACTTAATTCTGCTGCCGAGTCAAGTACATCTCTCAGCCATCCTACAACAAGAGGTCAGAACCTGGCCCTACCCTGTGCCGCCCTCACCACCACCATCCTCACGCCCCTGCTGCAGTCACCCGGTCATCCACCCGGTGCAGGGTTTTCGAATGTTCTGCCGACTGTCTTTCTCACATGATTCATTTTCCTGATGACGGGCCCCTCCTGACAGAGTGGAACAAGCATCCTAGTTGGACTTCCTTTAAGACAGATCCGTTGGTTCTTTTTTGCAGTTCATGGGATATTCAATACTCTTGACAACACAATTCAATGGCATTGATTCTTCTCTGGTCTTCCTTACTCACTGCCCAGTTTTCAGGTGCACAGGAACCGATACTATAGCCTGAGTCAGGGCTACGTTAATCTTTAAACTGTCACTCGGCTCTCAAGCCCTTCAGAGAAGTCCCTGACATCAGATTTCCCCACTGTAACATGCCTTTTGACTGTGAACCTAAGCAAAATGAAGTTGATGACAACTTTAATCTCGCCATCCATCATGACGCTGCCTGTTGGTCCAGTGGGGAGGATTTTTGTTTTCTTGATGTTGAGAGGCAATCCGTGCTGAAAGTTGGCCAGGTAGGTGTTTTAGAATTTCTTGGCACAGGCTAGTGAGCACGTCTAGGTCTGCACCTGTTGACACACTTAAACTGCTATTCTTTCAATCCTTGGGCCTTATTTTTTTTCAAATGCCTTCAGTGCAGCTTGAATGTCTCCCTTTGTTATCATTCATAACCACATGAAAATATATAATCAGTATGAAGACTTGAACAGCACATTTTTCCCCCAAAAGGGAAAATCTTTATACTAGCTGAAAACAGTGAAAGAAAATATATTGTAATGTCCCTCACATTTAAACGACTTTGTTTACTGTCTTCATAGAAAGACGACTTATTCACTGAAAAGAATATAGCTGTGTTTCCATTCAGATCGTGACTGATAAAATGGTCCCATCATACCCCCTGCCTGTACCACTGGTTCTGTGGCTCTTGACAAGCAAAGAAAAGTGCCAGGAGAGAACAATGATAAGGAGGGACAGAAAAAGGGAACATTTGTTTTCTAAAGACTGACTGGCTTGACTAGACCTTAGTGACCGACCCAGTGATGTGGGGGTACTGGGAATGGCACTAGAATTGAGACGTGAATGCTAAGGTGGCGTGTGGTCAGCAGGCCTGGGCATTCAGGATAGTGCCCTGAGCAGAGGTGGCACGAGGTACACGTACCTGGACAGGATGATGGCACCCCGGTTCACAGCAGCCCAGGACTTCAAGGCCTTCATCCCAACATGCTCCACGAGCGTTTTTGCAAAGCAACCTGAGGAACACATGGGAACATAAGAACATCACCTACCAAGATTACACCAGACACTCCAAGGGAGACACTTAGTAGCCGGCTTCTTTAAAGGTCACGGCCTTGACAACCCTGGGGGGCAGTTCCACTGTTCTGAGAGGGTCACTGTGGAGCTGGAACTGTCTCCATGGACTTCTTAGCAGGGTCTTGTAAATCAGAACCTAGATCTCAGCAAGCCAATGTCTGAGACTGACAGCCTCAGCAAGTCAAATGTAATACTGCTTCATGGGGTGAGGATTGCTAACGGGAAGACGTGGCCCACAAACCAGCCACGCACACCAGACGGGGCAAGTACGGATTGTCGTAAACCCGCCAGCCGTCGGGAACTGTTCTTCTGGGCTGTGGGCCTGGTGTATTCTCTTACCCACCGGGCCATCTAAGGATGAAAGGGAGATTCTGAACATGAGGATGTCAAGGACAGGGCGGCGGGGCCAACCCACGTGAAGTCCGCGCTGGCCCGTCGGGGTCAGGCTCGCTCACCTTCTCGCCCACGCTCTCTCATCTTCCCGTCCTGCTCGATGAGCCATTTCAGAACCAGATGTCCTGCTGGGTGCTCGGCGACATGAAGCTACGGGAACAGACCACAGTCGAGAGCAGATGTCAATTCAAAAAGCTGTGTCCGCCCACAGTGGCCCAACACACCTCATTCATTCACGGACAGAAGGTCTCATTCTGAAATGACCACCACACCTAGACGGAGCAGAGATACTCCAGTGCCTGGACAGTGAGTGGTTCGCCCTCAGCATCCTGCACTGGCAAGAGAAGGGTACTGTACTTGGCCAGCGAGCTCAGTGACCACAGGAAGGCTGCGGTGAGGACCCACCAGCCTCCTAGAGCTCGATGCTACGGTACAGATGCTAGGAGTGATGACTACGTGACTAGGGGTGTTGTTATCCAAGGAGCAAGTCTGGAGAGCTCACTTCTGCTCGACCTCCTTCCCTCCGCTACCAGTACGCATGAGCAGTGAAAGGCATCCTCACCAGACGACTGCTGTGTACCATCGAGTGGGAACCAACCCAGAGCTGACCCTCCAGTGGGTTTTAACTGCACTGGAGGGAAATGGTCATCTTTCTCCCACGGAGCAGCTGGTGGATTCCAACTGCATGCAGCTCCTTACCACTGGGCCACCAGAGCTCCCACCGCGATCAGAACATATGGACTGAATGTGGACGTTCCCACTGGGTCCCCAAGCGGCCTGACCAAGTCACCGCTGGGCACTGTCTCCCAACGGCGCCTCACCTCGCCGTCCCGGCCACCGGGCTGCAGCTCGTCAGCTGCCAGGCTGGCAATGGCATTCATGGCCGGCTGGCCGTCTCCCAGGGCACAGCCCAGGACGCAGGGAACCAGCACACACGTGGACTTGTCCAGCACCATCTCCTGGGCGTGTCCCTGCAGGTGGCTCAGCAAAGCCGGGGAGATGGCCTCCAGGAGCTCCCGCCGGCGGGTCTCCGGGTCCTTCTTACTGTGGGAACACAACGGGAGATGCGGCGCTGACAGGAGAGAAGTGGGGGAGCGCTCTCTCGCGCGCGCGCTCACACACACACACACACACACACACACACACACACACACACACACACACGCGACACCCAAGGTGGTACAGTCGTCAAGCACAAGGTTGCCAGGGGAAAACGAAGTAGTTCAAACCCAGCAGCCCCTCTGCAGGAGAAGGCCGCTTCTGTGAAGATTACATCCTGGAGATGCGATGGGGGAGTTCTGCTCTGTCACTCTGAGTCAGAATAGATTCGACAACATGGATTTTCGGATGGGGCGAGGAAGTGAGAAAAGTTTCCTGTTTTTCGGAGTAAAAGCCCTGCTGGCTCAGTGGGCAGTGCGGAGACGAGGCTGGCTGCTTCTTCTGGAAAGCTGCAGCCTCTGGGCCCCATGCAGCTTCTGTTCTACTCTGTCCAGCTGGGCTGCCACGAGTGAGGACAGACTCGAGGGAAATGAGTTTATTAAAAGCCTCGACAAGCCTCTCACAGCTCGTGTCACCTCCTCTCTAGATTGTCGGCCGTCTGCTGCCTGCGCAGACCCGTGAGCGGGGGTCCATCTCTCCTCTCTGTCCCTGGGATCTGAATGCTGCCTCCACGGAGCGAGTGCACAGTGTGTGACGCTGGCTTACGTGAAGCCAAAGGAAACCCTCTCTACACTCTGAACAGCAGCAACAAAAGAATCCACATTCAGAGTCCTTCACACATGCACCAGAACGAAACAAAAGGTCGATGGTTCAAATCCGCCAGCTGCTCCAGGGGAGAAAGACGAAGCAGACTGCTGCCACAGAGGTTTGAGCGCTGGGAACCCCGAGGCTGCTGCCCTCTGTCCTGCGAGGTTGCCAGGAGATACAACTGACTCGAGGGTAAACGGCTGCTTTTGAACCAACTGACGTGTGCGCCAGGTGCTCAAGGGCACTTTTGTTCTGACTCTGGTCTATTTCCTCATGAGAAAAGCTTTATGACTGTGCCACAGCGACAGACTTAGACTTGGAATTCATGCTGGCAGTGGTTATGGAGAAATGGAGACCGAGGCTGGGGCCCTGGAAGCCGCACTCCCGCTCCCGGCACCGGCACCATCAGAGCTCCAGCCGCCTACTCACCTGTGCGCGTTGCCGTCTCCCTTCTGTAGAACTTCCACGATCTCCCGGACCGTGTGCGCAGGGTCCCTGGGGCTCAGCAAGTACAGCAGGACCTTCCGTCCATACTTGTCACTCACGATGCTGGGCAGGGCACTGATAAGTTCCTGGGAGAGACAGAAACAGTAAAGGACTCTCCACCTGCACCCCGACAATGGTGGATGTCTGGGATTCAAACAGCACAGGAGCACAGGGACTTGGTGGTCTCCCCGAGCATGGTAGAAAATGAGGTGCTGGCTGAGAAATGTGCCATTAAAGCCACAAGGGGTTTACACTCGGAGCCTAGACTACTGTCGTCCGTGTGGAGCAGTAGCGGACAGTCCACGTGGACCTGCCTGACCAAGGCCAGGGACGGAACAGGACTTCTCAAGCGCCATCTTCCTTCGCAACCACCAGTGTGTTTGTCTTAGGAAGAGAGCAGGAGGGACCCTGCTTGCTGGAGTCTCCAAGGAGACGCGGCTGACTTGTCACCGTGTTCAACGCAGCACCTGACGGCGAGGACCACCCCAAGGAGGCTCACCGAGATGCGCGCGAGGGACATAAGGAAATTCTACGGTGGGCAAGTTGCTATGTGGTGCCATTGAGACAGGAGTCCGAGTCATAGTGAGCCTTCAACAACAGACTTGAGTGAGCCCTGCCCTACCCGGTGCCATCCTCACCACCTATGACACACTCAAGCCCACTGCTGTGGTCACTGGGTCAGTCGACCAGCTTGAGAGTCTTCCTCCCCTCCACCTTCCAAAGGATGATTCCCAAGGATGATGCCCTTCTCCAAGGAACAGCCTCTCGAGCAACTCGCCTAAATGAAGCATGTTGCCAGGAGCAGTTATGTCTGTTCTTTGGGGAGTCCGTGGGACATTCAGTACTATTTTCTGACACCACAGCTCAAAGGTATCAATTCTTCTTCTGTCATCTTTATTCACTGTCCAGCTCTCAGATGCACAGCAAGTGAAGTGACTGAAAAGAGCATAGCCTGAATCAAATGCACCTTGGTCTTCAAACTAACATCATTGCTCCTCAATACTCAATAATCTAGAGAGGTCCCTGACTACAGACTTTCCCCCGAACAATACGTAAGAACGGCTTATAAAGTTAGGGTGCTCATTCATGGCGAAGGCAGGCGGCTGGCTGGAGCAGGCGCTGAAACACGCGCAGAGTGGGGGAGGGAGCCGGTCCAGAAGCTGCTGGACGTGACATGGCCCAGTGTTTTCAATCGGCGGAGCCCCAACAGTAGGCTCCTGTTTGCTGCGGGCGTTTAGCAGACGGTAGCATCGTCTCCCCCACCCCAGCTCTGCTCTGTTTCCTGAGACAGAAAAGTCACTATTGGAAGCTTCAATTCTTCCCAATACAGAAGATGCAGCAGATAGGCCATCGCTCTGTTTCCTTCTGTTTCAGCAGTCCTGTTCTGTCACGAGCAGGATACGCCACCAGAAAGGGTCAACTGCCAGCAAACGACACCATGAGCGACAAAGCAGAGGGGCAGTGGACACCAGGGAGGGCAGAGACATGACAGGCTGGGCACTGAACGCAAGCACATCAGGACCGCAGAGATGGTGGGCCAAGCTGAGGTCCCCACAGAGGGAGCCCTGAGGAGTAACGAAGCGATCTCTTACCAGCAACATCACAGGTTCAATACTGATGGGCAGTTCTACTCTGTACACACAGGCTCAGGTGAGCTGGAAACAGCTCGAGAGGTACCGACAGGACACAGACAGCAAGCTCTCCATGGAATTCCTACACAGCCACCACCCAAGGACCAGGCCCAAAGCTCACAGACCTTCATCCAGTCTGTAACGAGTAATTTAGAACCTATGTTTATTTACTGCTGAGCCTTGCTCGCGGAAATGGAAGAGGACACGAGGCATTTGCTGCAGAAAGACTGTAGTCTTTAATATGGACTGAAGCTCAACATCAAGAAAACAAAGACTCTCACCACTGGGACATCATGGATGGAGAAGACTGAAAGTGTTGATAACCTCAGCTTGCTTGGTTCCACAATCGTCAACACTCTTGGTACCAGTCAGCAAATCAAAAGATGAATTGCACTGGGAAAGTCTGCTGTCAGTGAGGACCTATGTAGAGTACTGAAAAGCTAAGGTGCACCTGACCCAGGCTGTGGTCTTCACAATTACTTGTCATGCATCTGAGAGCTGGACGATAACTAAGGCTGAGAGAAGGAGGATCAATGCCTTTGAGTTGTGGTGCTGGAGAAGAGTGCTGAACTAGCGTGGACTGCGAGGAGAACATACAGTTCTGTCCTAGAGAGGGTGAAACCAGGATGCTCCCTGGAGGTAAGGATTGTGAAGCTGTCTCACATAGCCTGGACACGTGGCCAGGAGAGACCAGTCCTTGGAGAAGTACATCATGCTTGGATGGGTTGAGGCACAGCGCAAGAGAGGAAGACCCAGGGTGAGACTGGCTCAGGATAGGGCAGGTTACGGAGCTAATGTACACAAGGTCGCTATGAGTCTCATGTTTATTTAAAGAGCTTCCCCAAAGGCTGTAACATCTGTAAAACAATAATCTTAAGACAGAAAAAAAAAGTTCTGCTTGACAAGTCTAGGTTGATGTAACTCTCCTTAGGGACAGCTCCTGTCTCACCTGCACTCCAGCGTTCCCCTCCTACCTTTACGAAATGAAATAATGAAGTGAAACCATCTGTGTGCTGCTATACCAATCCATTTACCTTTACAACTCTGTTTACCTATAACCTGGGCTACAGTGAAAGGAAAAACTTGTAGAACATCGCCTGGAGAGCATGAAAGATTTCAGTATGGGTAGAAGCGTCTGGAGGAAGCCACAGGACCCGGGACTTGGCCAGAATCTGGTCTCTAGAGTCTGACATTTAAGCAGTGTAGCTTCTGGCAGATTCTCTATTTTCTGTTATTAGTCACGTGTGGCACAAGGGGCTATGCTTGGATGATTAGCTAAAAGATGGGCGGTTCAAACCCAGGCAGAGGCACCTCAGAAGTGAGGCCCGGAGATCTGCTTCCAAAGGGTCACAGCTTTGAAAACCCTACTCTGTGTGCATTGTGCGCATCACTGCTAACACTCCCCGGGCAACCTGGGGCATCAAGTCCTGTATCTGCTACAGGAAACAGGCCCCAGCCCCTGGGCCGACTCCAGGCACAAGCCAGAAAAGCACGGTGACAATGCAGACTGACTCTAAAAGCAGCATTTTCAAACAGAAAGCACAACTCTCAGTGCACAGCTTCCTAGACACCTGAAGCCAGGGGTGTGGGGTTGGGCTCCCCGAAAAGCCTACACCCCAGGAGGACCGGGTCTTACAGTGATGTTCACAGTGCTGTCCTCTTACAAGACTGAACCCAGAGAATCAAAGCAAAGCCCCTCATTTCCAAGTGGCCATTTCTTCTCCAAAGCAGGTTGTGAACAGAGGACCCCACCCAGGAAGGACAAGCCCCTTTGCCAGCTGACCTGTGCCAAGCCCTTACCAGCCTCCCGGCATTCCTGCCCAGCCAGACCTCTCTTACAAAGATAAAGGTCAATGTACATACAGGAAGCGGGGTGAGTGCCCCAGCTCTTGGGCACAGAGCAGAAACCATGGGCACAGCACTCGGAGAAGGGGCTGGTGCACACACTGAGGGCCAGGGGAGACCGAGCAGCCTCACCCACCAGGAGCCGAAATGCAGGCGAGGACGCCAGACCAACGGAGCCAAAGACAAAAATAAACTGGCCGTCCTTCTCCTGTGGGGCAGCTGGGGGACTGAAAGGGCACGCCTGTGGGCTGCCAGCGCAATTCCTTACCACGAGGCCACCACAACCCCACGGCAGAGTAACTGTTTTAAGAGATAAAATACAATTTCTATCGTACTGAAACAGATGAAGGAAAGAACAGATTAGAAGTGATATATGATTATTACGGTTAGCACAGGAATCCAGAATTAAGGTTGCATAGAGAAGTGTACTCGGGGTCGGGGGTGGGGGGGAAGGGACGTGGGAATTGTATACTAATGAAGGAATTTTTTTTTTCTTTCTCTTCGGAGGGGGAAGCGAGCTGGTGGGGAGGGGTGGGCAGGGAGAAAATTGCGGCAATGAATGAATGGAAATCCAAAACCTCTGTAAAAAAAAAAAAAAAGATAAAATACAATTTGGCAATCAAAATTTTTTCTAGAACAGGGTGAGCGCACAGTCCTGTGGGTCAGACCAAGCCTCTGGCTGCTTTGTGCACATCTGATAGGCAAAGAATGGCTTTCAGGGTTTTCAGTGGTTGTGGGGGAAAAAAAAAACCCAAAACAAACCTATATGACAGAGACAATACACAGATGACCAAGGGCCACTGCCCCCGGATCAATCCCAACTCATCTTCAGGACAGAGAACGGCCAGGAATGTTCCCATGGCCACTGTTCCAGGAGCAGAAAGCTTTGCCTTTTCCCTGCAAGGCAGCTGGTGGACCAAACTGCCCATTTTCAGTTACCCACCAAGTACTTAGTCCAAATTTCAGCACCCAAATTTTCAGTATTCTTACTGTTCCCCTGCTGATAAGACTCACAAACTTCAGCCTAAAAGAGCAACGTCAGCTACAGAAGAACCTGCACCCGGTGTTCAGAAAACTTCTACACAAGGGGAGGAGAGGGACATGGGACACGGCGGATGGGCACGGGGCACGGGCTGGGGAAGACAGGAATGGCCAGGACCAAGCCCCAAGCCCAGCTGGGCAGGGACTGAGCAGGCAGGACACAGGAGCAGGGGGACTGGACCAGCAGTGGACCCAGCAGGCCTTCCTGTCCCGTGTCAGACGGCAGGAGGGGGCTCACTGCGGTATGCACACGTTTCTGTGCTTTACGGAGAACTTTAAAGCTGAGATCAGTATTCACACCCAGATCACGAGCAGTGGGCGTGGATTCAGACAAAGTTATCATACGAGAGGAGATGCCCGACGGCTTCCCGCAATGAACCGTTACAGGAGCAGACTGCCAGGTGTTTCTCCCGGGAGCCACTGGGCTTGAACCAGTGACCTTCTGACTAGCAGCTCTGTGCTTAACTGTTATGCTACTCTCCATCACACTTTACCAACCAACCAGTAAGGGCACTGGCTTCCCGACATGAGGCACACTGGGGCCATCCAGCCCCTCCCAGCCGAGGACTTGAGGGTAAAGGGGACCAAGTTGTTTATTCTAGAGCATAAGAGGCGGAGGCCGGTGGGGACAGCATCCACCTGCTCTCTCAGAGAAGGACTCAGCTGACCTGGCAGGAGCTTCCACCTGGCATTTTGGGAGATTTGGTCCTCCTGCGCAGAACATTCCATGACACCAAGTTTTCTGGGTTATTTTTTAAAAGAACCATGAGCAGTAGCAGGTTTTTGGTGGCCGGGAGAGGGAGAAATGTGGGGCAATTAGCATTCAGGAGGTTTCCTCACTCCACACTTGAATCAATGTTGTAAAGGCTATAGTGTTGGAAGGCAGGACGTCGCCTCGGCTTCAGAATGGGGGTGACAGCATGGTGGGAACAGCAGTGACCCGCAGACATCTGCACAAGGACAGCTGCTCTAGGGGCCACTTTGAAGGAGACCCTGCTCATGGAAACTTGACCTTGCACGTGACTGTGACAGATTCTGGAGGAAGTGTGGCTTCTCTGCAAGTTGGCTTGAGATGGTTATGCAAATTCTATTTGGAATCAAAATATGTAACAAAAGTGAACCTTCAATGGCCCCAGGCGGCTTCCATTTCCCTGAAACAACTTTATTCATCAGTGAATTCTATGCAGTGCCTTTCCCGTCGCAGGATCAAACATGATCATTATTGACTGGAGTCAAAGGGTAATAAAGTCACAGGGACCACATCAAAATGCTGCGTCTGTGGCCGGCGCTCCCTGCCAACTTGTTTCTTCCCACAAGCCTATTCTAAACAGTGGCCACCACGCTAAAGCCCTCTCAGCAGGGCTGGGAAATGCCGGCCAAGACATGAGAAACAGAGCACTGGGGCTTTGAGGGGCTGGGGAGAAAGGAGACCCCTACCCTGTCGGCTAGCCAGTCTGCTCCCGAAGCACGCCCAGCAGTGCTGCAAAGGCAGGTCACCGAGCCAGCACCTGACACCAGGTAAGCGCACAGGACACACCGCCGCAGTGATGACCATTAACAAAGGGACAGAGAAAACAACGGGCTACTGTGCAGTGCTAAAGAACAATGAAGTATTAGTAAAATACAGGACCACACGGCAGAATCGAGAGAGCATTAAGGTGGGTGAAAGAACTCAGTCACAAAAGGACAAATACTGACCATTACTGTGAGAATAGGAGAATAACTAAGCAAGACAGGTACTACCTTTCAAGAGGAGCAGGGGCGGCCAAACAAGGGAGAGGGGTAAAGCACTAGGACTGTGGAGGTCAGTGAGCGGATGGGAGTGAAGGAACAGGATGAAGGAAGAGGAAAGATGCACTGGGGACCTGAAGAGATGACATAATAAAAGGCCCAGCTCAACAGTTATTCATCACATGAAACAAAGCAGATGAACTGATTCTTTGGAAACCAATTTGAAAAAAAAAGCCAACAAAACAAACTTCTCAAACCAGAGTGAGTAGAGACACTGAAAAGTCTGGTGGCACAGTTGTGGGCAGCGGGTCTACTAATGTGAGGTCTGGACTCCCCCAGTTGCTCGGAGGGAGAGAGATGGGCCACCTCCACCCTGGGGGTTTACAGCACCTGAAAACTCCGCGGGAGGTTTAGTTCTGGGGTGGACCCAATTAAGGGCAAGGAGAGGAGAGAGAGTTGAGAGACAACCAAGAAAACAACAGAAGATTTGGGCAGGAGGCACCTGTGAAGGTCTCTGTTCTCCAGGACACGTCAAGCCAAGCTCACACATCCACAGCTGGTGCGTGACAGGCTGACGTTTAACTCAAACATCACATCCCCAGTCACTTACCGATATGACTATCTGCTTCATGAGCTTGGTATCGTCAATGCAATCAAACGCTGCCAGTAAAACCAAGTGGGAGTATTGGCCCTGCAAGAGATCAGAAGGCAGTTGAGGTTTAAAAACACACAGGTTTCCCTTGGTTCGACCCCCAAGTCACTTTGTAAAGGTCACCGACACTGACAAATGGCCCCAGGTTATAAGCAAGATGAGTAAGAGAATTTCAAATGAACCTTCTCTCCCATCAGAACCTACTTATAAACATCGAGATGCAAAACTGGCTGAAAAGAGAAGCAAAGAGAAGCCCTTTCTCCAATACCAAAGGGCCCAAACTCGTATTAAAAACCTGATCAGGATGTTTTTATCTTTTAAATAAACACCCGTTAATGAATCACAAACAAAAAGGGGGGAGGGAAAGCACAGCAGAGACAAAGCCGCAGCTGATGCTGACGCACAGGCCCGTAGGCGAGCAGACCCGGGCAGGGTCTCTAAGGCTGCAGGACTTTACAGACGCAGGAGGCCTCATCTTTCTCTAGTCAAGTGCCTGAGTCTTTGCACCACCACCCCATCCCTGTCAAGTCCATTTCTACTCATAGTGACCCGACACGACAGAGGAGAACGCCCTCACAGGACACCCCACAGGTCTGCCGAGGCTGGTGGGTCACTGGGGAAGCAGGCTGTCTTGTCCTGCACAACGTGGCCAATGAGATTAGCAGGAGAACTTTTTTTAAAAAAAATTCCAATTTCTTTACAAAGTTCAAATACACTGTTCTTCACATCAGACCTTTCCCATTTCCTTCACTCTCCCCCATCAAACTGTGTGACCCTATGATTAACAACTCCCCAGCCCATTCTCACCCCTCTGCTTCCACACTCCCCCATCTCTGAGCCTCATACTCGTTATAAGAATGGTTTTATACAGTATTTGTCCTTATGAGACTGAAGGAGTTCACTCAGCATAATGCTCTCCAGTTCCTCCCAAGTTAGGCAGTGATTTACAAAATCACTGATCCCACGTGCTGCATAGTATTCCACTGTGTGAACATACCATAATGTCTCAATACTACACCATTTCAAAATTACACTCAAGAAAACTCAACTGATACAGAAATAAAATTAAAAAAAAAACAAACTGTATTCAGAATGGTATTCTAACTACGAAGAGAAAAGAGCTGCCATTGCGTTATGTCCACGACACACGTACACAGAAAATCCTAGTGGGAAGACCACTAGGATTGCCCTCTGTGGGTTAAGAGACCACAAGCAAATGTTCACTTTCTTTGGAAGCACTCCCATTTCCATTAAACAATCCTACAAACTTTGGACTAACAATGCTGACATAAGCTACAAAGATAAACTTCCACAATGAATTTAAGAAATAGATGAAAAGAACACGTATTTCTAAAAAACCAGAGCAGCATGAAATGTTTTGATGACACCTGGGAAGTCAGTTTCAATGTACGCAGAAAGTCTAATTTTCTTTTATGTTTTCAAAAAGCTACTGCTTTGTGTGGAAGAGAAGTTTTCAGAGCTTGTTCACATGTTGTTTTTGGTGTTCTGGAGGAAGATACCATCCTTTTCTGTCCTTTGAGGGAAGGATGTGATTTTTGCTAACAACCAAAACACATCCAGGGCTGTCAGATGAGCACAGCAGGTGATAAAATTAAATTAGAAACACTAAGGAAAATGCAAGTAAGATTAAAAGGCAGCAAACTGGAGGAAAAAGATGAAGGACTAACTTCCCCAGTACATGAAATACACAGAAACCTAATGATTCATGAAAAACAAAGCACAAACGCTTTACCTCTTTACCTGAGAAACTAGGGCCAACCTTGCTCATGGACTTTGATCCAGTGCCCACCTCTCCTGCTAGTAAACAGGAAAGCCTTTAATGCCATACTAAGTTGGCAAAGGTTTGGAGGAAGCCAGGAGCACTGAAGGTTGCTGGTAAGACATTCCTCTGGAGGCCACAGGACACGGCCCCCAGGACGTGAAGTGCGGGGACTGTCCACACCCATGCCACGACCTCGGTACTCGGTCAGTCACTGCAGAACATGGCAACAGCAAACACAGGCCCCACAAATGGCTGACGGCCCATCCACAGGTTTCAATGTGCTGAAGCCACTCAGACAAGTGGCTTTTTTTTAATCACAGGGTTTTTTACCCGGGGTACCAAATATCAACCATCAATAGCCTAACCGAAATGGCAAAGGCCTGCCAGCAGCTGCTGTACAGCCACGTAGGCGTGTCTTTCTCGGCAAGAGAAGGCAAGCCGTCCTGAGGTGAACACCTTCCCAGGTAAACAACCCCCCAGGTGAACACCCTCAAGGCTGGCTGCAGGGGGTGGGCCACACCAGCTGAACCAGTGAAGGGAAAAGCAGGTTCACTCATGTTAATATGTTATCTTCCTGTTTTTCCTCCTATCTTTATAAAAGGGGCCCTGGTGATGTAACGTGTAGCATGTCCTACTATTAACCAAAAGGTTAGTGATTTGAATTGATCGGCATTCCACAGAGAAAGATCATAGTCTTGGAAATCCATACGAGGGTGGTCAGGACTCAAATCAACTAGAAAGCAGTGCCATTTTATCTTCAGAAAGGAGTCCTGGACTGCTAATGTAAAGGTTGGCAGTTCAAATCTACCATCACTCCTCAGGACAAAAAGGGCTGCCACCCCCTGTAGAGACCCACAGCCTTGGAAACCAGACAGGGCCAGGATGAGTCAGAATCAACCTGAGGGTCTCGCTCTTCCAAGACTCTTGGTGGCACCGCAGTTCAAGTGTTCGACTACTGACCTACAGGCAGAGTTTGAAATCTGTCAGCACCTTGCCAGGAGAAGTGAAGCCTGTTTTCACAAAGATGCAAAACACACAGTGTGGAAACCTGGGGGGCAGATATCCCCCATCCCACAGTCACTGCACATTAGAAGTGGCTCAGGGGCAGTGGGCCACACATACAGCTGACCCTTCAACAGCAGTGTTGAAGCTATGTGGTCCACTTTCACCTGTTGCTAAAGTGGTGAGCTCACGTGTTCGTACCACTTAAAACGCCCCATGACGCTGACCATCAGCTCCCTACAAAAGCAGCAGACTTTCCATGGGGAGTGCAGTTCAGACCCATGTTGTCACAGGGACAGCCAGTATTCCCCTCACAGGGCTACTGAAATAACGGGGAAAGGAGAAAGTCTAATCCTTCAAAGAGACCTCAGTGGGCTAATCTCAACAGGAAAGCTGGTATCTATGGGACTCAGTCTACTGACTTGAAGTTCCCATAATATCACAAGGAAAAACAGACACATTTCACTTTCTGGTACCTCTTGGGGATAACAAAACTAGATTCAAGTTTCTAAAGCTTCAGACAGGCATATACCTGAGCATGGCAGACAACTGGAAATGCGCGAGACATCACTAAAAGCTGTATCCCGCGGCATTAGAGTAAAAGTAGTCGTATGTTTAGTAACATCTGAATCAATGCATTAGTTAGCAAATACATACCCGGACCTGGTGACACCACATGAAAACCATCCTAAGGCAATGCTAAATGCAACGTTAACACATCGAACACACACAGGGGCGTGGCCTGGGCTGGGCAGATCCAACCACACAAAAATAGAGCACGCACGGAGGAGGGACGCCCAGGAGACAGCAGGCTCAGCACTCCATGGTAATTTACACGACTTCTTTCCAGTTTTTCATGAGGTACGGGAATTTACTGTTTGGGAATGCGTAGTTTCAGCATACTTACGTTAGCGACTTTCTCAATGTAAGTTTTCATCGTTTTCACAATCACCTTCCTATCCTTTAAAAGAAAAAGGTACCTCAATCAACTTCAGTGCAGAGAAATATTTCAGTAAAGATGTGTACAAATTATTATATTTTCATCTAATGGCATATTTTTGATTGGTATAAATGAGAGCTACACACTGGAGGAAAACCTGCAGTCCTGGACCTGGTAGGTATAACCCATCAGACACACAGGGATCCGTGAAGACGTGCACACAGCAGGCAAAGCTGGCGAGACCCCTCCTCTCACAGCGACGGCCAATGGCCCTTGTCAACGGCTGAACTATCTTCAAATGCAAACTGGGAAGAGCCTGCAGACGGACTAGCCTGCAGGAGGCATCCAACACAAGTTTGTTGAAAATGAAATCTGCTAACTTGTAAAATTAGCTGTTGTGCAAGTGTCTCCTGAGGCAGAATAAGAGACGAAGGAGGGGGCGCTTCTGCGGGACTGACCTGTGATCACGCGGGTCTTCACCTCTCCCCTCGGGACGGAACGCCCACTGGAGCACTTCTTCCCGTCCCAACAGGCTATTACTGAAATGAGCCCTTGCCTCAAGGCCCCACGCACAAGGGACCTAAATGGCACCTGGTCCTGCTCCATCCCCTTGACGGGTGGCAAATGGGCCCCACTGTGGGTCACAGGCTTTTCACTGGCTGGTTTCCTCGGAAGGAGTTCTCCAGAACTTTTCTCCTTGCCCGTCTCAGTCTAGAAGCTCCACTGAAACCTGCTCAGACTCTTAGCAGTGTGTATCTTTCATGAGGGTGGGCTGTTCTTAATAAGTAAGGCGCACTGGCTGGGAATCGAACCTGGATCTCCCCACAGAGCGAGAATTCAAGGAGCGTGAGAAACACCATGGCCTCTACTGTTGTCAGGAGCCATGGAATCACTTCGGACTCCCAGTAACTGCAGTACAAGAGACCGAGACACCGCCCTCCTCACAATCTTTGCTATTTCTGAGCTCACTGTAGGAGCCGCCTTGCCAATCCACCTCGATGCCCTTTCCTGACCTACTTTCCAAGTATGAGGTCCCCTCCAAGGACGGATCCCTCAGATGACACGTCCAAAGTGCAGGGAGAAATCGCATTCTTTGTGCTTCTTGAGCATTCTGGCCGCAGTCCATCCTCCAAGACAGGTTTGTTCTCCAGCCATTCTAAAACAGATTTAATCCTCTCCCTCAACAATGTGATTCAAAAGTATCAAATCTTCATTTGTCTTCCTCAGTCATTATTCAGCTTTCACAGCATATGGGCAACTGAAAATGCTGCGGCTTAGGCCTAGAGTACCTTAAGTCTTCAAAATTACATCTACTTATTGTAACAGTTTAAACAAGCCTATTACAGCTGGTTGACGCAGGGCAACAAATCACCAGTGTTCTTGTCTGCTGCTTCTATTGCACTGAGAGTAGATTCCAGTGAAACGAAATCCCTGACCTCAGTCTTCTACCCATCGGATTTCCTCAGTCTTCTACCCATCGCAATGCTGCTTTTCAGTTCAGTGGTGGGAATTTTTGTTTTATTCAGATGTAACTCATACTGAAAGCTGAACTCTTTGATCTTCACCAATAAATGCTTCAAGTCCCCTTTGACTGTGAATCAAGATTGTGTCAGATGCATATTACAGGCTGTAGAGTCTTCCTCTAATTCCTTTTTTTTAATACTAATTTATTTACAAAATTCGAATTCATTGTTTTTGAGAACAGATTCTTGTAATTTCCCTCACCTCCCATGGTGAATCCCTCCTCCCCCTGTACACACTCAACCCTCTGCTCCCACCCTCTCAGCCCCCCTTGGATCCTTACATTCATTCTACAATAACGGTTTTATACATTATTTGTCCTTGTGGGACTGAGTTAATTCACGCTGCATAATGCTCTCTAGTCCCTCCCAAGTTCAGTATTAATTTAAAAAATCATTGCTCCTGCGTGCTGCGTAATATTCCACCGTGCGAATGTACCACAATTTCTCAATCCATACATTTGTGGTTGGACATCTGGGCTGTTTCCATGTTCCTGCGATGGTGAATTAAGGCTGCTATGAACACTGGTGTACAAATCTCAGTTTGTGCCTCAGTTCTCATTTTCTCAAGTATAGTGGAAGAGCTGGGTCATATGGAATTTCTATGTTCAGTTTTATGAGGAAGCACCAAACTGCCCTCCAGAATGGTTGTACCATTTTACAATCCCGCCAACAATGTTATAAGACTAAAGTTTACAGAATGCTCCTGGGCCTCGACAAGAAAAAGACTGATAACCCAATTACAAAATGGGCAAAAGACATGGAAGGAATTTTCAAAGGAAGGTATTCGAATGGCCAACAGACACATGAAGAAAGGCTCAGTATCACTGGCAATAAGAGATGCAAATCAAAGCCACAGGGAGGTACCATCTCTCCAGTAACAGTGGCAAAGTTTAACAGGGCAGCAAGTAATAGATGTTGGAGAGGATGTGGCGAGAAAGAAACTCTTATTCCTCCAATTCTTATGCCATGCTGTTCATATAATCCAGCTTTTCTATTTGTGCATTGTATAGACAACTACAGTGAAAGCACAGACAATCTCTCCATAAAGAAATTGATGTCTCAACTGCTTCACTGATCCTTTTCAAGACTTTTAAAGGAAAGCTCGCATTTTCTGCTCAAGCAGGGGAGGAACATCAGGCCTCAAGGAGACGGTGAGTCCTGGGAGGCCCTGAGGCTCCACGGACACGATGCTTTTATGTCCGATGGGGTTAAGACTACAGAGGAGAAAGGGGAGGGATGGAGAGACAGCAAGGGACATTGATGGTGAGGCCCTGCTGGACCCACCGTGCCCACACAGGCGGCCAGGCTCACTTACCTTGGGGGTGCCGTGCCAGAGGCAGTGCATGGCCACTCGGGCCCCATCGTGGGTGTGCGCCAGGTACACCACGGCTTCTCGGATGGCCTCGATCATTTCCTAGGGCACAAAGGCTATCAGTGATTTGGGTGGGACTCCCTCTCTGATCTTCTCTATCTTTCTACCTATGATGGAGAAGTCACACCATGGAGCAGACACCATGACCCTGGCGGGTGGAGTAAATTCCCCGTGGGGTTCCAAGATGGGAGCCTGACAGCAGCAGACACTGCACACACTCCTGTGAGCCTGCGCGTTCTAACCACCCACCTTTTAGAGAGCACACAAGCATTTAAAGCACTGTGCCACCAGGACGCTGGATTTTAATCCAGTGAATTAAAAGTAAATGGAATAAAATCTAATTAATAGTTGTTGTTGATTACCTTCGAGTCAAGTATATAACTCATAGCGACCCTATGAACAAAAGACCTGAAGCCCCTCTACAACCACAGACATTTATCAAAGTTCATATTAACAGTACTCAGGTCAATTCTAAAGTCATGGTCAAAACCTAATCAGAATCAGTAGACCTGTCTAGAGGTAGTTCGTTGGTGCTGCTAATCCAGAGGGCACAGGTCCCTGGTTCAAACTCACCAGCCTCCCGTGGGAGCAAGTTGAGCGCCTGCTGGGAACATGCACTGGGAGGCCTGTGGAGGGCTGTTGGCCCCTGATGGCCATGAGTCTGAGTTCGCAGTAAAGAACCATGTTTTCACAAATGTGTGTATCATCCTTGAGCAGGGGCCATGCTAGCCTTCTGTTTGGTCCAATTTTAGCACATGTGCTGACGAAGCAAGCACCAGAACCACTGAAGAGTTTCAAAAGGCACTGCTCACGGAGGCGGTGTTTTGAGGAGACACACCGCTCGCTGTGGTTTGGTCCCTACACCAGAAGAGAGAGCTTACCGATCTTAGTTTTGGCGGTGCGTGGGTAAAGAAGTCCAAGAACACTTTATGCACCAAGGAATGCTTGATCACCGCTTCCCTGGAAGCAAAAGAGAAGGAAAGATCAGAGGTGACAACACGGTCACCCAGAGATGGGGAGCCCTGGTCGCCTCCCGAACTGAAACTTGTGCAACAGCCTCCCAAGTGTCATTTACGTTAACAGCCTGGATCCATCAGCAAACCTAAAACTTCCTCTCAGTTTCTGACCATGAATTTGACTTTGTGCCGTCTACACTAAGACCAGTGAGAATTACGAGCCCCTCAGCAGCTGAGGTGCGAGCCCACCGTCACTCCACGAGAGAAGCTGAGGCAGTGGGCTTCCTTCCAAGGACGTACAGCCCTGACAATGATCCTGGGCAGGGCTGTCCTGCCTTACAGGGTGGGCATGAGGCGGATCTGAGCTGACCAAGCTGGCTAAGGTTTTGGGTTTTTACACACGCCTGCAGGTGCTGCAGAGCTGAAGGCAGAGCCTCAAGTGGTTTGAATCCAGGAGCCACTCCCTGGGGAAGTCGGACAGTCTCTTCCCATGTGATTCATGGCATGGACTCCGCACCCGGCTGGAGGGTCAGCCGCGGCTTGGCTCCAACGAGACAACCATGGGTTAAGTTCTCTCCATCTCTTCCCTCTCTACAACCCGGTTTCAGAGCAGACTGTGCCACTCAGGGTTTCCAAGAACCAAATGTTTGGAAACAAGATTGCTGGGTTTTCTTCTAAAGCATCTCTGGAGGGAAGGGGGGTGGTGGTCTTGAACCTCTGACCTCTCAGCACTGAGTGCATTCATCATCTGCACTACCCAGGGATCCATCCTTTTAATCAGATGTCACTATGCTTCCCCAGGAAGAAGTCACATGGCCGGAAACCCACCCCTGTGGGCCTGCGTCTTTCCGTCAGACATCCTTCACAAGTCACCGGTGCCATGAAGGAACTGCCGTGCTAGTAACGCTTACAGGACTCGAAGCAGAATCGGCCAGCTTCCTGGCACCCAGTGGTCATCCAAGCCGTGTGGAGAACCCAAGCAGAGGCAAACACCTCGGTGTCCTGCTGTGTCAGTCCTGAGGCCACTGCTCTAAGACAGTTTCGTAACATGCACGTTTCCGAGGAAGACACTGCTCAGATGGCAGAGAACGGCTTCAACCCAAAATTCTGACCGACTCCTGGTGCAGGTCAAGCCCAGGAAGGGGAACCGTCCACACGGACGGTCAGGGTTTAAAAGTAAACTTTTCCCATGCAAATGACCCTGCTATGACGGCAGAGAACGGCTTCAAGCCAAAATTCTGACCAACTCCTGGTGAAGGTCAAGCCCAGGAAGGGGAACCGTCCACACGGACGGTCAGGGTTATGCAACTTTTCCCGTGCAAATGCCATTTGTCAGGAGGAAACCCAAGCTTCTTTCTTACTTCTGGGCCATGGGCGTCAGGATCTGCTTCATCTCGTCCATGATGAGCTCGCACTTTGCCGGCTGGGCCTCTAACACCTTGTCGAGGGTCGGGTGCTCCGCCGACTGCAACAGAACAAACGCCAAACCCCCTCAATCTAATGGGGAGCTTCCTCCTCCCGACCACCGACTGCTACTGCAGCAAGCTCGTGTGTGCTGGAGCAGAACTGTGCCCCACGGGGTTCTACCGCTGACTTCTCAGTAGACTGCCAGGCCTTTCTTCTAAGGCACTGGTGGTTGGACTAGAACCTCTGACTTGTTGGTTAACAGCAGTCACAGTGTAAATAAACGTACAGGAAACCCTGCTGTGTGCTGTGCCCATGGAGAAATCCCCGAGAACTGATTCTCAGTGTGCACAGGCTCCAGGCAGCAGGCCTGGGACGCCGGATGGAGCAAACTGTCCACCTCCAACAGTTAAAAGAGTTGAAGGTTCAAATCCACCAAGAGGCTCCTGGGAAGAAAGAGCTGGCTGGCAATCTCCTCCCCTAAAAGCAGCACTGACAGTTCTGTGGATTCACAGCTCCACACTGACACAGGGCTGCCGGAAGTGTTCAAACACACACAGACAGACACACATACACACAGCAGCAAGAAGGTGTCACACAGGTGGCCCCAAGAGAGAGCCTAGGGGGCAGGAACGTCTACATGGTCACTGGATGACCACGGACAACATGCACCAGGAGAGTGAAGGGCGTGAGGCGGTGTCTCAAAGGGGACACCAGCTGAGGGGGCGCCCAGGCCCCAGGGACAGTGCCCGGCAGCACAGCCGTCACCTTGAGCAGCTGGAACGTGTTCCCGTAGAGCTCCTCGGCCAGCACGGTGCGCTGCTCCAGGACCGCCTTGTCGTTGTAGGCGTACTCCACCACGGCCGAGGCCTCCGCGTGCCGCAGCATCTTCCTCACCTGGCCGCGGAAGCTGCGGATGATCTCCGCGACCTGGGCCTTGCTCCTGCAGCAACGAGAAGGCAGGAATCCCACAGCCTGTGCTGCCAGACAGCTCGGGCTCCGGCTATGGGCTAAGGCTCACGGCACGGGCTCACGGCCACGGGCTCCGGTTCACGGCCATGGGCTCCGGTTCACGGCCACGGGCTCCAAATCCCACAGCCCGCTGCTAAACCGCTCCTGCTTTCAGCCACCCACTCCGGCTCATGGCTATCCGCACTGGCACAAGGCCACCTGCTCCTGGCTCCTGGCCACCCCCAGTACCGGATGCTGGGACTTAGGGATGTAGACTGCCTCATTCTTCCTCCACGAAACAGATGACTGACTCCCCTATCAGCAGCCCAGTCCCTCTCCACTGTGCCACCAGGACTCCTTAGACCTAACTGCAGAGGAGAAAAATTATGAATGCTGGGTGGCAATGAAACCGAGATCAAGTAGCTCCTCCCTGAACTGGCTCACGAGCGTGCGAGGAGGCTCCCCTGGAACAAGGCTGGCCAGCAGGCATTCTGGCCGCCCTCTATTTCCCCCTCAGGCAGTGGAAGCTGTGTGGCCTCCAGCCAGTCGAGGTCTGTACCTGCCTCAGCTCCCAGCTGAGAGGTCTGCTGTCTGTTCTCTGTGCCCTCGCTTCCATTCACAAAGTGGACAGAGGTGGGAGGGTGACCTGCTTGGAGGCCAAGGACTGGCAAGTAGGAAATGCTCAGTGAATGTCAGAGGCTATGATTCAATTGCAGTCTCTGAGGCACCTCGGAAGAAAGGCCTGCCAAGCTGCTTCTGAAAAAACCAGCCACTGAAAACCCTCTGGAGCCCAGTTCTACTGACACACCAGGGTCACCTGAGGTCAGCGGTGACTGACAGCAACCGGCTTATTGTTAATTTATTCAGCTTCACACAAAGTGAGGAGGAGGGGGAGAGAAAAAAGGGGAAAAAATAAAATCTATATATTTAAATAGACAGAGAAACAGGCATACCACCTCCTTCAGGATTTTAAGAAAAGACTCAACAGAAGTACTTCTATTTTAAAAATCAGGCAGCTTAGCTAGAACACATTTTCTGAAAATTCTTGTCAGCTGTATATGTTTGCAGTTAATTACCATAATTAAACTCAAACAGGTAAGTCCAAGCAAGTTTCAATCCCACTTCAGAGAATTCTCAATTCTGACCCTTCTTTCTTTTCTTGCGATTTGAGTAAAAATTTACAAAGGGGATTCAATTTTCATTCAACCACTCTCACACACACTTTGTAAATTCCGATACTTTCCGCACTTCTTCCCTGTGATTCTCATTTCCCTTGTCCTCTGTCCCTTCCGGTCCTCAGGGATTTCCCCTTTCTCAATCGTTTATGCTCCCCTCCCTGCACCCCACCAACCACCCTCTAAACACTGGAAATAAATGACGAGTTCATTATTCCAACTCTCCTCCCTCCTGCAGAGATCCGGCTGCAAACAGAGGCCGCAGGTGGAGGCAGGCCCAGCCCGTCACACACGATCTGACTACTCACTCCGGCTCACATCACACTCCCCGGAAACACCACGGATATCTCTCAGGACTCTTAATGACACCACAATTTCCGAGCGCACAATCAAGAACCACTGCTTCCAAAGGCTAAGATAAATTGAAACCAAGTTCAAAAACACACAACTCACCCATACATGAGGAATTTCTTAACAACATTCCTGGAATATTTGGCTTTACTCAATTCGACCAAATTATCTGAAAAACAATGAATGACAGCGATTTGGTTTTCTTATTCCAGGGCTCCTGACAGAGGAAAACAAAGGGAAGCTGTCAGTCAACTCCCACTCACAGTGACCCTCTGCTGGGTGCCCGGGTCTGTACACTTATGCAGAGGCAGACTGCTCGCGTCCCTCCTTCAGAGCAGCTGGTGGATTTGAACCCTTAATCCTTCAGTTCACAGTGGGATGTATAACCCCATGGACACCACAAAGGCACAATACTGGGGGGACACCCAACAGCCTCCCACCCTGGACAAAGGACACTGAAAAGAGAGAGCACAGCGGGAAGGTGGCCACAGAGCATGGGCCAGGGACACAGGGAAAGATGGTGAGCGAACCTCGCAGCTCCCCGAAAGCCTCCTCCCGCTGCTCTTCACTGCCGTACTGGATGTAGCACTGGATCACGCGCGTGGTGTCATGGGCAAAGGCGATCTGTGGGGACACCATGAAGGTGGGCTGCAGCCTCCTGACGACTTCCGCTCCCACCTTACCTGCTCCTTCTGCTGCTCACACCTTAGCAGGAAGGCTGGGGGGGGGACAGGGGACGGGGATGGATGACCAGCGCTGCCTGATGACGCTACTGGACACATTTCACAGGTCTAACTGGCATCTGGGGACGCAAAGCCTGAACCATTCTGCCAGATTCCAACCACTACACTGCAAACCAGACCACACCAAAACTGTGGAGTGACTGAACACACACTGTGCATCTCTCAAAGTCAGCTTCTCCAGGAATGAGGCATTTCAAAGTTCACGAATACCATCAGTGAGCTCAAACTTGTCAGTTAGCAGCCCAACACTTAACCCAGGGTGCCTATGTTGTTAAGTGCCATCGCGTTGAGTGTAACTCACAGCGACCCTCTGAACAAAAGATGTTCTATACTGGGCCACCCTCACACTTTCTGACACACAAGAGCCCACTGAGGCAGCCACCGTGTCAATCAGGACCTAGTGGGAGGGCCTTTTTATTTCAAACTCAGTTGGGTCCCTGGGCCTGGTGTTAACTGTGTTTGGGGAAAATATTATTCTAAGTGGCACAGAACCTGTCAGTCACTTTGCTGTACTAAGATAACTTGGGGTTGCTGTGATACTGAAAGCTGTGGCACTGGGGTGTCAAATGCCGTAAGGGTTACCTATGGGCGACAGGTTTTGGAGGCGCTCCCTGATATCAGACAGACTAGGAAGCATGATTGGCCATCTACTTCTTAAATAACAGACCTCTGAAAATTCCATGAGCACTAGAGGAATAAGAGCTCCTACAGATATACCAAGCAATAACTGGATCAAACAATAAACACTTTCTGAGCAACTGTATAACCAATACTCCACTTCTCAGATTTACACAATAATCCCTGCAAACACATCCCGCTGTATTCCTAGCAGTCACTGTATTTCAAATAGAATTCCTCCCCCCTTCTTCTCCCTGCTCCTTCTCACCCCTGAAAATCCTAGAATAGATTAGACCCTCGATAAACAGCTTCCTATAGTGACAGCCACAAATAATCAACTGTATCAAAGCAGTTTTATTCTGTAACAGCACTCGTCTAGTTCAAGTCTTTGTTGCTCACATAGTTATTGAGCTTTTTTTAATGACAACAAATCAGATGCTAAAAGTTCACTCCCTGCCCAAGCCATACTTACAGTTTTAATTTTTCCTCGAATCAGCTTCTGCAAATCGTGCATCAACTTCACCCTTTTTTCTTTGTCACAGTCTTTTCTGTAAATAAGGAGAGAGGGAAGGGAGTCAGCACAGCGGAGTAAAGTTGTTTAAATACATAAGACAGAAAACCCCAACAGTAAGTACTCACCCACCCAGCCCTGCATGATTTCCCATCTGCAACCAATAAACCTGACATTAAAATCAAGAAGAGAAAACATAACTTCTCAGAGGCAAACACTCGTCTCCCAAGGTCTCATTTAATGCCTCAATCTAAGTGCCAAGGGCCAGAGCTTCAGAAGGAACACAAAGCCCAACGCCTCAGGTCAGTGCCGACGCTCAGCGGGCCGCCCTTGGGATTCTGAGAACGCGGATCTGAACGGGAGCAGACTGCATCACCTTTCTCCCACGAAGCGGCTGGGGGACCGCCAACCACTGACCTGAAGGTGACAGCCCAATAGTCAGCTCCAGACATTTTAGGGCTTCTTCTCAGAAGTGAAAAGAATAAACCAAGTTGAGGACATCAAATATGTAGTAAAGCCCATCTGGTTAAGAACAGGCCTTCACTTTCATAGAGTCTTGAGGGATGGACACCAAATCCATTGTGTCTGCCCTATGTTTGCCTAAACATATCTGACACTATTTTAAGGATTCCAGCGGTATTTTTGCCATGGTTGCTTTTGTGTGAACCTCAAGTTGGAACCTACTCACAGCTGACCCTCCAGTGGGTTTTCAGAGGCAATAAATCACACAGGAGGAGTTTGCCCAGCTTTCTCCTGCCAATCAGCTAGTGGATTCGAACTGGGTGCCTTTGGGTTAGCAGTGCAGCTCCTTAACACTAGGCCACCGAGCTCCCTTCTGCCAGAGGGAGACATTCAAATGCCGGAGCCACCCCTGCAGTGTTAAACGTACCCCTTAAACTCCCCAATGCTGTGTCACTTATTCTAAGACTTGCCGCTGTTTCCAGGCACCGTTACTTCTGCAGCGTCTACAATGACTGAGATGCCACCAGGCGGCCTCACCTTCTCAGCATCTCCCAGATCTGCTTGGCCCGGACAATGACGTCATAGTTGGTTCTGTCACTCAGCTGTCTGCTCTGCTTCAGCTCTTTCTTCTGCTTCTTGAAATCGTCCCATTTGGGTTTCTTGGCGGCTGATTCTAATGATCACAGAAGTAACTGTCAATTAAACTAGCCCCCGCCCCGCCCCAGGCTGTGAACAGACATAAATTAGGCTGACGGGATGAGCACAGGCCAGGATCAATATTCACTGGGGACCGCCCACAGGGGCAGAAATGTCCCCACAATCTACACTTTCATTGGCTAAGCAGTGAGTACATTTTAAAATCTATTAACACCAATCATACCGTCATTAATCCAATTGTTTCCAACTGGGTCCCAACAGAAATATTCATGAAGGAAGTAAAGAGAATCATGAAGGCTAATTAAAAATAAAAGCATCTCTTTCATTCACGAAACAAAATTTCACTTTAGACTTGTAAGATTTCTAGGCTTTAAGTATAAGCCAAACAGAAGACATTAGTGTCAAGTACTAAAAGCCACCAACCGAACAAAAACACCAGAAACAGAATGCCACAGCTCATTGGCAGCACATGGGAACCAACTTGTAGGCAACTCTTCGGGTTTCAGAGGCTGTAAACTGCACGAGAGGAGATTGCCCATCTCTCTCCCCCAAGTGGCAACCCAACTCTTTTTTTTTTTAACTCCACACAGCAGGATTCAACCAACCAACCAACCAACCTTTTTGTTATCATCCAACATTTAGCCCACCACATACACTACTATATAAGGAACACTGATATTTAAAAAAAAAACCCACACACAAAAACCAAGCTGTGGGAAAAACCCTCACTTCGAATAAAAAAAATTTCTTGTAAAAAGCAAAATTACCTTGTAATTTCAAAACACAGAAATAACAACAGATATTTTGTTTCCTTTTATGCTTTTCTTCCTGTCCTGCCCAAGCTTATTTACAGCAATCTCTTTCAGGAATCTCTAACCTTATTACTGTCTTTTCTGAAAGCTCTGGTGGCCGAGTGGGTAAGGAGCTGCACTGCCATCACAAAGGTGGATGGTTCATCGCCAGCAGTGGCTTCTCAGGAGAAACATGGACAATCTCGTCCTGTGTGATTTAAAGCCTCTGAAAACCCAAAGGAGTATGAGCTATGAGTTGGCTCCAAATAGACGGAATGAGTAAGCGACTACTTACCTTTTAATTCAACTTTACATTACAAGATTTTTTTCCATGAAACCAAATATTCCTCAAGAACATAACTTCTAACAGCTCACATACCAAAATTATCTAATTCTATTCCTCATTGTTTACTTACGATGAGGCTAGGAAGAAAGGCCTGGTGACCTACTTCCCCAAAATTCAGTCACTGAAACCCTATTGATCATGATGATCTGAACTCACTGTGCATGGAGTCTCCATGAATCAGGGGCCTAAAGTTCAGGCCAACGTCCACGCAGTACAAGGGCCCCACGGGTGTAGGGAAGATAGGTAGGTACTCAGCGTGGGGCGCACAAAGGGATCGTTCACCCTCGCTCTACACGGGGTGCCCTAAGGGATCAGAGCTCACCCTCGCTCTTGCTGTCCGGCTGGAACTTCCTCTTCCTGTTCAATTTATTCGTCTGCTGGAGTTTGCTCTTCAGGACCGCCTCCCCGGGCTGCTTGGCCTTGAACTGCTTCACACCCTTCTTCCCCGGCTTGGTGGAGCTTTTCTCAAAGTTCTTAGAGGAGACTTTGGATTCACCGTCCTTCACAACTTTTTTGGGGAATGTCTTTTTCTGGGAGGTAGCACCTAGTCATGAAAAGAAATCATTATTAATCCCACGACCCTGGGAAGTGGTCTGCTCTATCCATCGGGGTGTGTTCTTTATACAAAACTGCATGTTCCTCAGTGCGACAGAGGGAGCTTGCCTGGTGCGGTCAGCAGAGCTGAGCTGTAACCCAGAGGTGAGGTGTCCTTCTGGTGGTTCAAATCCACCAGCAGTTCCAAGGGAGAAAGAAGGGCAACCTCCTGTGTGACTTACGGCCTTTAACACCCCCTGGACTTCAGGGTCAGCTGTGGGCCTATGCCAACTCAACGGAAATGAGTCTGAGTTTTAGAGACATCATTTTGTCTTACGGTCAAACATGCAACACTTATCCTTGAAACTTAAAATTCTCAACAGAACACTTTCTTTGACAAGAAAATGCTAATATAATATTGTCTAAGGAACAGATACAATGCAGGGGTGGCTGAGTCTGACTTCTACCCACTTTATAAAAGGAAACTGTTCCCATCAATAACATCCAAAATATCAAATAGCTGCACACAGACATGCCACCCACATGTTCCTGCACCTATTTCTACCCATCTTTGGGGTATTGCGTCTCTACTCATAGATTTTACTTACAGTTGTGGAATGTATCAGGGAAATAGGTTGGGGAGAGGGGGAGGCAAAGAATATCACACAATGCAAGTCCAGGTTTAGTCCAGCAGTCCCAAACCAGATTCAATTAGTGAAAGTCTAGGTTCAGTTCAGCAGCACAAATGCACCTCTGGTTTCCTCCATCCTTCAGCAAACTTTATCTCAGTTACAAGTCAGCTTTTCCTTCAATCATCCAGCCAGCAAAACCTATAACTTTGGCCCCATCTCCAGGGTTCCTCTGGTTACATCTTGCCACAGTCTCCTCACAACAGTGCCACTGTCTCTTCACTCACTCTCTCCACCACCATTTTTCAGTGTGGAAAGCATTCTCTTATAACGATCCCAGAACTGTTGAAGATTTGCAAGACCAAGTGTTGACAGTTAAGGTAGCTGGAGACCACGCCCCAATGGGGGCAAACACAATGGTTAGAAAAACCAAATTTCAAGGGTTCTGACAGCACCAAGGTTCATTACAGAAGGTAGAGCTGCATGATAAATCTACCCCTAATTCGACCATTTGGTCAAGAGACAGCTGGTAACCTGCCTCTGGTATCATTCTCTGATTTGCAGCAAATAGTAGGGATGTTATCCACATCTCTGAATTCTACTTTAAAGACTCCAGGTGCTCAAGGTCTTCACACACCTCATTTTCAGGTGTTCTCGAACATAAAAGGACTCAGAGGATAAAACCAACCATCTTAAAACTTAGGAGGTATGCTACAAAGACAAATTAACGGTGCAATCCAAATTTGAGAAAAATTCTCTTCAAAGACTACAGTAAAATCATTTGATACAAGTGTTCTTTTGGCCAAGAAAAGCTGCAAATCAAGGATCTCAAAAATGAAAAACCCTTCAGGGCATCAAACAAAAACCCAAGCCCACTGCCACCAATTCCATTTCGACTCATAAACTTTCTCCTTCACAATTTTCTGCTTTTCTGTTTTGCAACACTGACACCTGATGGAGTTAACTACCATTCCACAACTGCAGATTTCAACACTCAATCCAAAGATTCCCTGCTGTCTGGCTGATTCCAGCTCAGAGACCCTGCCGGACAGAGAAGAGCCACACAGGATTTTCCAGGGTGTCATCTTTACAGATGTAACTACTTCTAAGGTGCAACTGAGGAATTCCAACTGCTGACTTTTCAGTTGGTACCCAAATGTCTCACCAAAGGGCCACCAGAGCGCCTGTATTATTTAGCAACTGGTAAGAAGTTGTCACTTACATAAGGTGCTTGAATCAGAGAGAACATGAATAGGCAGCAGAAGTCACTGGCTGGGATACGGGGCTGCCAAAGAGCATCACATTCACCAATTACTTAGACAATGTCTCGAATGTTCTAAGATTCGTGGGGCAGATGTTAGCATGTGTATACTACTCTCTCCTCCATCTCAGTGTTTCAATCCTAACCTTGGCCCATAATCATTCTGGAGCCTGCTACCTGCACCCTCATCCCACTATCACCCCACCTGTAACTGAGGCCTAAGCCACCACCACAGTGTGAGGTTGGAGGCATGTGACTTACCGCTGCTTTTGTGAAACCTGTTCTTGCCCTGTGATGCTTTAGGGCCCTCCTTCCCTGTGAACTTTTTTCTCCCTTTGACGTCCATCACAGCAACTCTGGAAAACAAAAAGTTAAGAGCTGGAAAGCAGTTATTGTTACTAGTCCCTTAGAGCCCAGGTGGAGGACCAACACCAGGCAGGACGCCAGTGTCCACCAAGCCCAGCCATCACCCAGTCACAGCTCTGAGACTTCAGAACTGAGAACAACAAATCGGCAGGTCAGAGAGCTGGTACCCACACAAACCTGTCATCACACACTCATGGCTCTAAGACTTCAGTGAGAAGGAACACAATCCCAACGATGACACTAGACACACCCACACCCTGACAGCTGTGTCACTGCTTGAAGACAACAGTCTGAAACAGTATGAACTTGAGACAGACTATGACATCAAGTAAGGGCCCAGCATCTACATCTCTTGTCACCTGGGAAACTTTGTGACAAGTTAACCAGCAATGTTACCACTGGATGTCTTGCTATGAAACTGGTAATCATTCAGTGTTGTTTGGTGTTGTCAACTTGATTGCAACTTGTAGTGACCCATGTGATGTAACAGAACTGTCCCACCGGTTCTGAAGCCTGGAATCATTATGGGAGTTGACTGGCAGGTCTTTCTCTCATGGAGCCAAGGGGGGAGTTTGAATTATCAGGCCCTTTGCTTCACCACTGTAGCACTGAGTTCCATAATCATTCAAAATGTTGCAACTAGGTATCTTTATGTCCAAGATGACTCAGAGTGACCTTGTGAGGAAGAGATCAGCACTGCCTAATCCTGTTAGAACCACTACTCTTCTCGAGCCCATCACAGCAGCCACTGCCAGTCCATCTGTTGGTCTGTCCATTTTCATGGACTCTCTATGAAAGTGAAGTCTCATCAGGCTCAATTTTAAAGAGTATTCTGGTTGCAATTTAGGACAGATTCGTTTGTTCTGTTGGCAGTCCATAGTATATTCAATGCTCTTCGTTAAACAAACTCAAATGTCGGCACAGGTCTAGTCTTTGTCCTAACAACCTTTTCTTCTCCCTCCACGCTTCCTCCTAGACAATTTCATGAATTCCTATGCTGAAGACAAGACTCCCAAACGGCTCCTTCATTATGAACTCTTCCTCATCCTGCCCCAGCTTCTCCATCACCTACTTGAGCCCACTCCTACAGTCACTGTGTCAATCCATCTTGGTGAGGGTCGTCCTCTCCCGCTGACCTCCACCTTTCCAAGCATAATACCTTTTTCCAAGGACTGGCTCCTTTGCCAAATCCAAACCATCATCACCAATCTCCTTTCTTGAATTCTAATTTATATAAAACATGTTTTTCAAAAGGCCAACTGGGGCCTGCCATGCCTCTGCCTTTCACATAAACCTCCAGGAGCTGCCACTGCAGGGCGGTCCTCCTTGGCTTCCAGGACTGACTGCCACCTGTCTGAGTTCCAGCTCAGAGAAGACTTCTTCAGATCCTCATTTCCCCCATCTCAGTACTCAGTTCATTTCCTCACCAGCATTCCTAATTTGTAAATGTGCATGTAAGCTGTAAACTTCTCTCAGGAAAAGTGTCTCATTTATAGCCCCGCACGAGATAAGTGACGACTACGCAAAGGCATTCAACTACTTAGATCACAATAAATTATGGATAATATTGCAAAGAACATGGAAGAAGGAAGGACAATCTCCTTTTGTGTGATTTGTTGTTGTTAGGTGCTGTCCAGTTGATTACAACCCCATATGATTGTCTCTGAAAACCCAGGGGGGTCAGCTACGGGCCAGTTCTGACTCAACAGTATTAAACAATATTGTGAAGAATGGGAAATCCAGAATACCATGTTTTATTGACCTTACAAAGGTATTTAACTATTTGAGTCATTACAAATGATAATTAATGTTGCAAAGAATGGGAAATCCAGAATACGCAAATGTGTTCATGCAGAACCTGTATGCAGGCCAAAATGCAATCAAACAGAAAAAGAGCGTACAACAGTTGATAAGGTAAGGTGAACCTCAGGCTGGATCCTTGCACCACATCTAAGTTCTAAGGAGCTCTGGTGGCCTACCAGAAAGGAGTCAGTCGCCCTGGCAACTGAAAGGTACACATTTCAAATCCACCAGGGGTTCTGTGGAAGAAAAATGGACACTCTCCTCCTGTATGATTAACGGCCTTGGAAAATCTGCTGCGAGTGTCAGCCACTGGCTGGTTCCAACATGATGGTACACAACAACATTCAGTATCTCTCTCATTGTCTTTGAATTGGAATCAAGTCATAGCTGATCCTCCGTTGGGCTTCTGAGGTTTTAAATTGCAGGGAGAAGATGGCCCACTTGTCGCCCATGGAGCTGGTGGACCTGAACGGCCAGGTAAGTGTGGTCTCTGAGTTAGTATCTTAACTCCCCACAGATAGGGCCATGCAAGTTGACTATATGAAGAGGAATGTGGCGCCAGGACTGAAGACCAGGACTTAAAAACGATACAAATGTGCAGATGACACAACTTTGCTTACAGAAAGCAAAGAAAGGAAGCAATTACAAAGGAAGTTCTAAGACTACAACCTTCAGTGTGGATTATATTATCTTCACATAAAGAAAACAAAAATCCTCCCAGCTGGACCAGTAAACAGCAACACAAGTTAAGGAAAAGGCTGATGCTGTCAAGGACTTTGTTTTGTTTGGATCCACAATCCAAATGCACGGAAGCAGCAGCCAGGAATTCCGAAGACATGCACACCTGCTGCCCGATCCCCTTAAAGAGTGAAAGAGCAAGAAGTTCGTTTTAAAGCTGGACAACTAACTATTAAGACTAAAAAAAGAACTGATGCCTTTAAGTTGTGATGCTAGCCAAGAATACGGAGTCTATTACGGACTATCAAAAGAATAAGTCTGTCTTGGAAGCAGTGCAGTCAGAAGGCTTATTACATGAAAGGATGAGACTTCAGCTCAAGTACCTCGGCTGGGCAGGTTATCAGCAGGGGCCAGACTAAAAGAAGGGCTTTATGACTGCGATTGCGTGAAGGTCAGGGTGAAAGAGGAAGACAATGCTCGACGAGCAGCAGCCCTCTGCAGAGGACAGGAGCGATGGACTCAGGGCGAAGCAATGCTTCGTGCTCTTGCACTTGGGTCGTCTGGAGTTGGGACTGACTGGGCAGAGCATGACGACCCAGGATCGCGCGCAGAAAAGGACGTTTCCGTAGGACAGGAAGGTCCAGGGCCTGTCCCGCCTTTTACAGGGTGAAGGCAGTTCGGACCACGCCGGGGGCACCGGCAAGAAGGTGGACCGATGCCCCGCCCCCTCAGGTCCCCAGCAGCCCCCAACTCGCACTAGAGGCGAAGGCGAGGGCCGACCCGCTGCCTGCGCGCCCGCGGAGCCGCGAGGCCCCGACCCCACCGCCCAACCAGAGTCCAGCAGCTGCCCGGCTGGAGTTCAGCGCCCGCCCGCACTCACCACGCACGTGGGCACGAAGCACGCGAGGACTCACGCCGCTGCCGCCACTTCCGCCTTCCTGCCTCGCCCCGCCCCTGAAGCCTTGTACTTCCTCTTTCCGGACCGGAAGTGTAGTCAAGGGAGGCGGGGACTGGGGCAGGGGCGGGGTAAAGCAAATTTTGATTTCCGATTGGTCCATTTCTGACACGTGCAAGGTAAAGCCCTACACAGAGACTTTTGGCCCTTGAAAGGGTCCGTATGACAGAAGGCGGGGCAGCAATCCCTAAATGTGGTATTAACCCTGTCGTTTCTCGGCCGATTACATTAGACTGCGGTTGCTGGTGGGAGCTTTGATCGGCCCGTTGAAGGCTCAGGTCACATGCTTGCAACCTGAACCTACATTAAAAACGTTAAGATTTTTAAAGTGAGTTCGTTTGCCTCTCTGGCGGTGCAGGGCGGAAGTTAAACACCTCGAGTTGGCTGATTTGTAATCTAGAATTTTCCGCTTGAGGCGTTTAAGCAAATAATTAAATGGCTCTGGATCTCGAGGTTTTAATGAATAAAACCAAGGAGGGTAAATCATACATGCAAAGTGCTTAGCACAGAGAACGATCATGATCATTGTTGAATAAGTATTATTATTAACGTGTCCGTTTGTTTGGCTCTACACGCAACACTCTTAGTACCAGCAGCCAAAAAATTAAAAGACGAATTGCATTGGGGAAGTGGGCTGTCAGAGACCTTTCCGGAGGACTGAAGAGCAACGATGTCAGTCTGGAGACTAAAGTGCACCTGATACAGGGCCATGGTCTTTCCAACCACTTGCTATGTGTCCGAGAGCTGGAAAATGACTAGGGATGATAGAAGGAGAACTGATGCCTTTGAGCTGCGGTGTTGCAGAAGAGTATTGAATATACCATGACTGCCAGGAGAACAAACAAGTTCTTCCTAGAGAGGGTGAAACCAGGCGGCTCCTTGCAGGCAAGGATTCTGAAGCTTCGTCTGACATACTTTGGACATGTTGCAAGGCGGATCAGTCTTTGGAGAAGAAGTCTTGGGAGGGTTGAGGGACAGCGCAAGAAAGACCGACCCTCAATGAGATGGATTTAGATTTCAGTGACTGGGGTAATGGAAGTAGGTGTGTCAGAGACAGTAAGACTGGCACAGGATAGAGCAGGGTTTAGGGCTGTTGTACGTAAGGTCGCTATGAGTCAGAGGCGACTGGAAGGCACATAATAACAACAACTACACTAACAGGGTGCACCCCATTGTGGTGCAGAAGATTCTGACCCAGAGCCACCCTCCATGGGGTTTCCGAGGCTGTAAATCAGGAAGCAGAGGCTGTCATCTCTCCTGAGCAGGTGGATATAGCCTTTCGTTTCAAAGCCCAACACGTAATAAATACACTGCACTGCCGATGCACCTTCCTAGATTGCATCATTGTCACTTTCCACTTTAAGAAAGTGACATTATTTTAAGATGTTATTTCCTACTTTACAGATAAGGGAACTGAGTCACAAAGAGGTCACTAATTTGCTGGATAAATCTGGTCCATTGATTTCCTGGAGTAGCCTACTATTAAGGTTGATGGTTCAAACCCACCCAGAGAAGCCTGGGGGAAAGGCCTGGAGATCTGCTTC